ACACTTGAATCCAGGCCTCAATGGGAAGAAGAATTCAGAATTCAGAATCACTCTAAGCCCTAGCAACCAGCCTGAGCATTCAGTAATATTTACTTCAAACCGACCAAATCCTTCCCCCACGGCCGCCTCGCTTTCTGAAGCTCCGGACTCTGCGGACATTGCCTCGGCATCTCGCTTGAAGGGAAGGCTCGGAAGAGCACCGCCACGGCCACGAGCCTCAAGATTCAAGATCAATTGTCAATTAAGTTTGAAGGCTTCGGGTATAAGCGGCTTTCAAGTAAAGTAAAGTCGCTACTATAGCTTATACTTATACTACTTATATAATTAAAATTAACAATTACTAATTACTACAATTGATTCAAACCGGTCCGACCTGCGTCGACGGTACTGGCTTGTTCTTGGGAGCAGATCCATAGCTTCTAGCACGCGAGTCTCTCTCAGCGTCAGAGACGTAGGCACCGGCATCGGTCCATTCCGTACTCTCGCGACTGCGAGCCACCTGAGGATAGTGAAATCTTGTTATCCAAATAACTAACCTCAAGATTGAAGACATATATAATTATAATGATTGATTTAGTCTTGATAACTGATACGATACAATCCGGCCTCGGAGGGGGACCACCCCAAGCTCATGGCCAGCCCTTGAAACTCGGACGGAGTCATCAATTGGTTAAGTCGTGGGCGGTGACCAGCGTCTTGGTCGAAGCCCAGGGCGTGCTGCGCTGGCCTGGTGAGCCTGGTCAGAGACCGATAGCCCTCTTCGGCGAAGATTTGCTGCATCTTGCCCAGGGCATCGATTGGTCTGACATTCTTGCGACCATGCGTGTGTCGCGACTCTGGGGCCGTGGTGCTCAGGTCAACGATGGCCCGTAGACTGTTTAAGTGCGAGTACACCACTTCCGAGGGCTCGCCCGTCAAGAAGATGATGAGCAGGGCCATTAGGAAGCTGCTCCTATGAGCCCCGTTCTTGCAGGATATAAGCACCTTCATCCCAGACGACAAAAGTTTGATGATCCGCTGGAACATGTTGATAACCAGGCCCTGGTCGATGTCTCCATGAACCACGCCTGTGCCGTCCAGATTTCCCAGAAAGTCAATTCTGGAATCCCTTATCACCGGAGGGTGGGACGCTGCTGCCAAGATCGCTCCGATTCCGTTGGCAATAAGCACCTGCACATCCCCACTCGCTCCGATTCCTCCCAACCAGCACTGGGCACCATTGGGCAATTCCAGCACGCAGTGCATAGGGTGCCTTGAGACAAACTTGAAATAGGTATTCTGTTTCGAGTAGAATGAATTGAATGAATCAGAATGATCGACTACTCTAGTCGACTCGTGACTCCTTACTACTTACCCATCATTACATTATAATAATATTATCAAAACCGCCAAAACCATCCCGAATCGAGCCCGCCTTGAGTTGTAAGCCTGCCAGCACATCCTGCGCAGGGACTGCCCCTTGCCGTAGGAGTCCGTGACAAGTAGTCTGGCCAGGTCAGAGACCGCTGCTGCCCTTCGTGATCGCTCTCGAAGTGCAGTAGCTCCTGAAGGGGCCTCCGGAAAGCTATACTCCGACAAAGCGCTGAAGCGAGCATCGAGCGGGGCAAAGTCAGACATGGCCAGAAACGAGTCAAACACACGACACTACTGCTACCACTGATGTGCCACCAATCAGGTGGCGGGGTCTCTGTCTGTACAAGCCAAATCTGCATTCATTCAGCATACATTACATGACAATGATCAATGATCTGCTTGCCTGCCTGCCTGCCTGCCTCAGCACTTCAGCACGCTACACGGTTCAACATATGACTGACATGACATGGCATCATGACAGGGCATTACGAGTGTGACCTGCGGCGACTTGCACTCACTAAGTACCGTCCCTGCAAAGCTCGGTCCTGTCCAAGGTCCGTTGAAGAAGTCGGCAAGCCGCTGGAAGGCTTCCCGCTGAGTCCCTGAGCGGATAGGATCCGTGGTATCGTTATAGCTCATACACAACTGGATCAAATCCCGGGCTTCTTGTTGGGCTTGAGACCACTCCTCTGTCAATGCTGCAGGGGTTTCCTTCAAGACTCGCAATGTACGGGCAATGTGACCATCAGCTTTTGCCCGAAGATCCTTCAACAGATTGCCCTTATTCAATACCTTCGCAATGGAAAAATTACCACCCAAGTTTCCCAGAAATTTCGTCAATTGCTCCACTATGTTACCCACTCTGTGTTGCAGGCATAGGGATGGCAAGAAGAAATGATTCTGATCATCACATAGCTGTTGGTCAACGAATCTCAGTAAGCGAATATTGGCAGCATGAGCATCCGATATGGTCAAAGTAGCCAAATACTTGCCTTCGAAGACCTGTGCAAATCCCCCAGGGCCGGCACTCAAAGCTGCATGCATCGTGGCCGAATTCATCACTGGGCTGAGAACTGCAGGGGACCTGAATATATGTTCATCGTGGACCAAATCCTCGTCCTCAAGACGGTACGTCAATTGACCATGAGAACAAAGTACGGAATACGAAGCCGATACACCATTCATCAACAAGTCGAAAGTAGACTCGTCAAACATGATATTACGAATGGCATATGCCAATTTCGTCGGCTCTGCATCTTCTGAGACCGGCTTCTGCAGCTTCTGGATACCTACGGCTTGGCCATGCAGGATAGCTTCTGCCACAACATAACGACTACCAGAACTGTTTCTGCGACCAGCTCCTTCAATGGAATCCTTAATCTGGCGACAAGTGGATTTTTCAGAACTGAAAGCCGCTCGAAGAACAGCAGGAGACGACCATACTCTCCACTGGCCTCTGCCTCCAACGGGCTGACGATCTAGACCGAACTCATGCAAGGGCATATGGAAATCTTGATTCCTGGCCCGTCCACTGGCATTATAAGCTCGCGATTGCTGATCATGGAAAACCTGGTTCTTCGACAGCTTGCTTTTGGCTCGAGGTTTCTTGGCAGATCCAGGTCCGAGACCGATGTTGTCGAGGCTGCGTTTTTGCCGTTTCTCAGTCGTTCCAACCTGGTCTCGTTGTTTTGTCTGCCCCTCTGCATGCACATCTTCAATTATGCCAAGGATTTGGTCCATGTCCAACGATGTAGCATCCATAGAATCTCCCATGGCTAAATCTTAAAAAAGACTCCAACTCTTTATCTATAAACCAATAAATCAATCCAAGGTTAACTTCATACTGCAAGTGCAAGATTCATGACTCATAGTATTCATGCAAAACAACCTCGTATTCTATATCTCAAGTCTAGATCCTGAAGTAACTACGAGCCTCAAAGCGACGAATGCAATCATGTACAACCTCAATTCACCCGGAAATCTCGGAAGGAGCTGGATGCAGAATTTCATATATTTTAAAAAAGAATTTATTAGAAATATCAAATATATTATTTTAAATAAAAAAGAATTTCATGAATTTTGCTATATTAATAAAAAGAATTTCAACTATTTCATCTATTTCTTTTTATGCTTTTTGGGTCATAATAAGCAAATATGAGCCACAGGCCTTCTTGGGGACACTCAACCCTTATAGTAACCCGCGTAGAACCCTTTACAAGGAACCCTTTAAAGGAACCCTGTTCTAATCATGAAGGCCCCAACATTACGCCTGAAAGATTCTTTTTCCGAATCGAACCCTGGGAAGCTTCAGGGACTTGGCGCCAAACGTCTGGGATTTAGGGTCTCGGGTTTGAGGCTTACAGTAAGGATTTGCCAAAGGGTCCAAAGTACCGATATAGTAGAATGTAGAGTTTCTATCTTGGGAGTTACTATACATGACAATACCTAGGACCCTCGGGGTTATTGGGCCTTGGAACTTGGAATCTCCGCGGTGCTGGTTTAAGGAGGTTCGATTTAGGGCTGAGGCTTTAGGGTTAAGGAGGTTGGTTTTTGACCTTGGGCGAATGCGGACCTGCACCTGTCACCTGAAGCCCTCAACCCGACACTACATCTCGAAACTACAATAATAACCCTGGAACACCCCTAGAATCCCAAAACACTGTAGAACAAATGCCTTCCGAACGCCATGGTGGCAGAGATCTCTAAAAGACTCTAAAAGCTCTGAATACTTGCTCAATCTTGCTCACATAGTCTGTGCAAAACACTCATATGGGTGGTTGTCAAAATTATGGTCCCTTTTTGGGTCCTTGTTGTAGTACGGCACCTGGTATTCAGGGTACCCAAAGGGATCTTAATTTTGTCAACTACCCAAAATAGATCTTATACTTTCTTCCCGCTCCGGGAGCGCCTTCTCTTCCGCGTTCTGCCTCGCCCCTGGGTGTGGCAGGACTCTGCTTACCTTTGGTTAGTAGGGAATGGAGGAATGGGGTATACTTAGAACTACTATTACTACCATTCTTCCATTCCCTACTCACCAAAGGTAAGTCTGAGCTGACACCCTCGTGGCGGGAATCGTCTCAGCATCGTTCCGGCAGTACACCGACCGGTCATGTTCCAGGCAATTTAAGCTTCCCCCCGTTTCGGGACGGCTGGCATTCCCAGCCTCCCCACCCGCCGCTCCCATTGCTGGCACCACTGCCCGGTGATGGCAGTGGGAGGCCATCGCACGAGTTTTCGTGCATGCAGGAGGGACATGCCTCATCCAACAGCAGACTTTCACCTCCTTTGAAGTCCGAGCGTATATGTTTTAGATGCTCAGGGATTATGGCCTGAGGCTTCAGGGTTCAAGGGTTTAGGGTCCGAGGGCTTAGGGGTTTAAGGGTTTTGGGTTGGGGAGCCGTTCCCAAGTAGGGCCTTTCTTCCGGATAACGGAATTCACAAGCGCCGGCGCTACAACGATCCTCAGAACCGCAGAGATTCGGGCTTGGGGGGGTTGCTTAGAAAACTCCAACATTCTGACCCGTCATTGACACAAAATCAAGACCCTTCGTGGGTTCATGGTTCCGAAGCCCCATACATCCTAAATCCTACCCTACGTTTAGGATTCTGACATTTAGGCTTTAGGAATGCCGTGCTCAGTGCGGCACAGCGATCCGGCGAATGCCTCGGGCGCGCTTTGAAGACGATGCCGGTCACGCCCTGTGCTTTTGGAGGCTGAAGCGCTCCTTTGAGGGCTTCTAGGGTTCTACAACAGTGCTATGAGATTTGTTTCTATAAGGTACCTTGGGCCAGGGCCTGAGACGCTGATCTATGATTCGTTGCACAACTGTGGGTACATATAGTACTAGTAACGATCAATAACATCATCAACAATTGCAGGAGCAAGGGCTACTAGCACCAAAAGTTGACTATTCTGCTCCAGATCCGGCAAGGAAGAGATATTCCTTCCTCGCTGCGCACCAGATGGAATCTGCGAGGTTCCTGGACCTCTCCAGCTCTTCAACAATCACCACCCCCACTTCCAAACCAACTATCCAAGCAATTCCTAGAAAGGGTGTAAAAGTAGTCGACATAAGCCGTTCCAGATTCCAGATCTTGAACCTGCACATAGAGTAACCCAGAACATAGTAACCCGACTGTGTTCAGAATGAGTACGTAGGCAGGAATAGTCCAGGCACCTGTGGTGCACAAGAAGGTCGGATTGTGAGAGACTCTTGCGCACTCCCGTAGAAAGACACCGCTGCAGTGAACGACCCTCGCACAGCTCCACAAAGCCCCAATCCTACCTGGACCCCAAAATAACCTACCATTTGTAGGGTTCCCAAATATGATTTCCTTCTACAAGTGCTTGAAAAGGCAGGTTGTTGGGGGTTGAGGTAGACCCTGCAACGGATACTGTCTAGACCCTCACCCCGGTAAGTGCACAAGTCCCTGACACCTAACTCAAGTAAACGGGTTTAGGAACTTAACATAGGGGCCTTAATAATTAGAATAGGGTTTCGGGGTCCACTACACTGTATTTCTAATCGGTAAGGAACCACCAAAATAGTAGTGGCAATTATCTAGGCCCGATTTTTATAAGTATCCCAAAATCTCATGGCCTGGCCCAAGACATCCTTGGTGGGATTCCACATGTAGTTCTGTTGAGCAGTCCCGCTCCTGCGAGCTCGCGTGGGATTGGCATCTACCATTATATGGTTTAGGACATATGACTCGCAACTTACGGCATCCTGTTTTCTGTAAGTCGCTTTGTGTTTGCTCCAAACTAAATACTATGTTTTGCAACTTCTTGGATGGATAGGAAGCATAACCGACACAACATTGACAAGGAACGCCCAGTTTGAGGGTGTGGGATTTGCGGGACGGAGCTTCGGGTGTGAAGAGTAAGGAGTCTGGGGAGTTGAAGACCTGAGCGGTCTTAATGTACGGACCCACTTGGAACACCCAGCACGGCACTAAACAGTAAGCGTTTCTGAAGCTTGCAGCCTCCAAAACATGAATAGACCCCAAGATACTCGGTTGATTGTTCTGGGGTGGGGGACTCGACCACTTAAGCTCGCCTTTCCTTTTGACTGCTTGGCTGTCTGTACTTCTAGGCCCTAAACCCGGATGTTAGAGCCTGCAGCCCAGGACAAAGTATTGTGAGCACGATGTTGGGGAAGTTTAAGAACCCTAGAAACCCTGCAGTACTAGCCCTAAGCCCGATTATCAGACCCCCCCAAGCCATCTGAACTCCCAACCCCCTCAAGCCCTTTCTGTCTTGGATATAAGCTCTGTAGAAATGCATTCTAAAATCCCTGCAAACGCTAAGCCCTATAAGCCTTACTTGTAAAATCAAAAAAAACACTCCGGAAAAACCTGGACCCAAAAACCCTGATCAACCTTGAACCCTCTACCCTAAAACCTTGAACCCTTAATCCTAAAAGCCTAAACTCTTTTCCCACAGACCCACGAAGCCAGGCTCCCGCAGCATTTCAGCAGATCGGTCACGCTGCCTGGCTACTTGTCGGATCCGGGGGCTAGCAAGGCTTGGGACTCTACCCCCAAGGGCTCGAAGCCCTTAATGTAGGGGCCTTAATTAATAGTTAGAATAGGGTTTGGGGGCCCGTTATACTATAAATATAATAAGGAAACCCCCAAAATAGTATTAATACCAGGCCCCGCTGGAAATTAGAATGGAGTTGTGTAGGCTGTGTAGGGTTTATTTAACGGGTTCTATAAGGATTACCATAAGGGTTACCAATAGGGGCCTTGGGGTACGCCTCATACAGTGGACCTATTCTAGAACCCTATACTACACTTTAAGACGGACCCTCTTACAGAAGCAACGACGACGCTGGTGCGAATTCTGAGCAAATGTGGGCCGTTTCTACTACCACTGCTACTACTACGACTACTGCTACCACTACTACTACTACTACTACTACTACTACTACTACTACTACTACTACTACTACTACTACTACTACTGGTACTACTACTACTACTACTACTACTATTACTACTATTACTACTACTACTACTACTACTACTACTACTACTACTACTACTACTACTACTCACTACTACTACTACTACTACTACTACTACTACTACTACTACTACTACTACTACTACTACTACTACTACTACTACTACTACTACTACTACTACTACTACTACTACTACTACTACTACTACTACTACTACTACTACAACTACTACTACTACTACTACTACTACTACTACTAGTACTACTACATACTACTACATACTACTACATACTACTACATACTACTACATACTACTACATACTACTACATACTACTACATACTACTACATACTACTACATACTACTACATACTACTACATACTACTACATACTACTACATACTACCACATACTACCACATACTACTACATACTACTACATACTATCTACTTCTACTTCTACTTCTACTTCTTCTTGTTCTACTGTTGCTGTTGCTTTTACTACTACGACTCATAGTCCGTGCATCGACGCAGTGATTGGCTCAGACTGATCTGCGATTGGATTTCTGCTCGGTGGATGGAGCAGGAGAGCGAAGCGACCGGCTCTTGAAGCAATGCTGACTTAATAATAACCGTACTCGAAGGATCTCAAAGTAGTCACGGGGCCATGGGCGGCATAGATGGCAAATTCAGCTCAGGGCAGTGATCTCAATGTAATCACAGCCGTGTCCCCTGATCCTTCAAGTTATGTCTGCCTGGCGACTACTACAGAAGCCTAAATAATTAGAATGGGGTTTGGGGGGCCCGTTATAGTACAATTATACTAAGGAACACCAAAAAAAAGCATGTGTAATGATTAAGGGCACTATAGTAAAACTATGGGCACCTTCCAGAAGAACCCGTCCAGTGCCGCCCAAGATGCCGCTCGTTGCTGTTGTGCCGATAAAAGAACTTCGCGCAAAGGACGATCGAAATTCCTGTGCCGGAGCATTTATTGGCTTTGTATTCTTAGTTTAGACTTGCATACCTGGTTACAGTGACCTATAGCTGTGGAAGATAAGTCGCAACAACACGATTCCCCGAACGTATGCATGCACCTCAGGGTATAGAAGCCCTCGCCCCAGTTCACTGAGCGGGGCCGAGACAATGACAATAGACAAGACAAGCAACACTTTCCAAACGCCAAACCACAAACAATCCTAGAGCATGATATCTAAACCTGATATCCAAAGCCCACAACAGACCACGCCATGATACTTGCAAAGCGCCAAACCCAAACAAAACCCTGGACGTCAAACTCTAACCCTGACCGACCCTACCGCCCACACACTTACAACCTGAAGCGTGAGATTTCAGCTTCATGATGGTGGCGATGGCTTCAGGCATCGACGATTGTTGCTTCGGGTAGGGGCTGCGTGCGGTTTATAAGGCTTTGCAACTATATGGGTGGTTGTCAAAATTTATGGTCCCTTGTTGGGTCCTTAATATAAAACGGCACATAATATTTAGGGTACCCCCCAAAAGGGACCATAATTTTTAACAGTTACTCATGTAATTATGAAAATGAAAACCTGTAAAGTCTAGGCCTAAGAGTAACCTAGGAATAAAAAGGGTGCCCTTTTTGGTTTAAAGGGGCTTATAAGGGAACCTGAACCCTAAAAAAGGGAATAAGGGCCTACTCTGGGTCCTAGAAGTCTTTTCCGTACTCAGAAAACCCTAAACTATTCAGGCCCAGGACCCCTCTCTTTCGCTACCCAGAAACCTTAAACCTCCAGGGCTCAGGGTTTGGGGTTTCGGGTTTAGGGGCCCCTACCCCAAACCCTAAACTTACCTTCGGTTTGTAGGGAATGGAAGAATGGTATAGTAATAGTACTTATAATTGTACCCCATTCCTCCATTCCCTATACTAACCAAAGGTAAGTAAACCAAGCTTTAAGACTCCAGCGCCTCGGCATCCGTGGCACGCCGCGTGCGGAAACGGGCGGTGAAGGAAGTGGAGCCTGTGAGACTCGCGGGAAAGTAAGGATTCTGGGAGTACCGGGACCCCCCAACTGCCCTTTCATAGAGCCCTTATGGTCCTTAATTAATGGTGTGTATTTAAGGTATGTCAGAGGGTAGTTGGGGGGTCTAGGTAGGGCTTGGGGTTTAGGGTTTTTAGGGTTTTGGGGGAATAGTAAGGGTTCCTTTAAAAGGCGTTATAAGGGTTTATTTAAAGGGATCTATAAGGGGTGTAGGGTTTGGGGTTTAGGGGTTGTTTAGGGTTTAGGGGGTTAGGGTTGAGGATTCAAGGGTTCGGACCCTGCGGGTAGCGCAGTTCTCCAAATCAAGGTCCCCTTTTGGGTCATTTGTATAAGGGTGCCGTATGATATTTGGGATCTAAACAGGAACCCCAGATTAGAGGACTACCCATAGACTTGCACAAGCAGGGGCCTTAGTGAGTAAGCTTAGTGTACCTGTGCGTCGCAATAAGTCAAATAATATGATATCTACGCTATTTATAACCCTCCTAACGAGGTCCCTGATGATCCTTTACAATGACAGAAGGACAAGCACGGCAATAGGCTTTGGCTTGCGGGGCACAGGCATGGTTTAAGGGGTACTTGGAAGTTCATGGGTAGCTTCACTTGGGGTTATCCATCCCCTAATATCAGCTCTAGCTATGGTTACGCTCCCTATGACCCCACCGGTGACTACCCATGAAGCTCCTAGTAGGGATAACCCCAAACCCTAAACTATACTGAACTTAGAACCCCCCATTATAATTTTAGCTGTTTCTTAGGGAGTATAATAACCAAAAATTTAAGAATTATTTCTAAGTACCCCTAAGTAAACCCTCAACGTGCCATTCCTGCCTTCTCCCATGGTCTAAGCTGGTGCCAGGCAGCCGCGAGGGCGAATGCAAGGCACAAGATCCCGGAGAGTTTCGGTGTGAGCTTGGAGATAGAGGTTTTAAGGGTTTAAGGTATAGGGCGTTATGGGTTTAGGGTTTAAGGATTCAGGATATAGGGTTTATTTAGAGCTGTGAGATTCAGAGTTTTAGGCTTAGTCATTCAGTGTTTAGGGATTGGAGGTAGGAACTTTCGGGTACTTACACGTGAGAACAGTTAAATAGAAAATTGAGTCTGGAGGTAGCCTGGAACAGTTGTTGTTCAGCCATCCTAGTGCCAGGCTCGGGTAGGGTCTTTATGGTAGACGATGCCAGAGGGCTGGCCGAGATATACAGATTGTAGGATGGCCGGCAGGGAGACATGGCTTCTTTTAAAGTGTTCCAGTATAGGCTACCAACGAAACACCATTCTAATTATTCAGGCTCCTTTATACAGATCCATGCTTAAGTTTGAGGATCTTACATTACACCCGCTTCCATCCACAGCTGCGAGCCTTGACCAAACGATTGCGATTGACAGCATAGTTTGGTTTTCGGGTGCTTTGTGGTAATCTACGGGCCTTAATAATTAGAATAGGGCTTTGAGGCCCATCAGACTGAAATTGTAAGGAACACCCAACATAGTACAGTATAGGTAATTATCAAGGCCCCTATATTCCTATATTACGGCTGAAGCTTGCAAGGGGGGCAGAAAAGGTGTTGGGTCCGGGGTCTGGTCTTTTTGAGAACACAATATGGGGCTTGGGATGTACGGCTCGGGATCTTGTTTTTTGGTGGTGCTGCAAGAAGGATACGAGAGCTGTGCAGTACAGTAGAGGTCTTGGCCTAAATTCAAAGTTCTGGATCTCGAAGCATGTGGAAGTGTGGGCCGAAAAAGACTCAGAGTTCAATCTCACATCGAACATGAATGGGAAAATAAGCTGTGAAGGCTTGGGGTTACTGAAATTGTTTCACACGGCCATGGAGGAGGTTTAGGGTTTAGGGTTTAGGAGGATATCTGTATTTGCAAGTGTCGAATCCAAAAATGTCCGACATGTAAGGCGAACAAACTTGAAAACCTTGTGGGACAAAGGATAAGATGTACAAGCTGAAGGTCCTGGAATTCCGGGGCTTGTGCGCAGAACAGGCATGCTCCACATAGGCCAAACAGCACAGAAACTTCCGTATTGCCACCACCAGCAGCACCATCAACAAAAACAACAATATCGTGTCCATGACTATCGTCATCACAGTCCCCAACAACGCCGGCCGGCACCATTGTCTTCAACACATCATGACCTGCATCCCCACCATCGAAGTAATCATACTCATCGTCATATCCAAAGACATCTTGCACAAGCATAGCTCATAGGTCCACACGCACGGATCTCGGTGATCTGCTTCGGCATAGCTGGACCTCCAGACTGGAAATCCGAAGCCCCCTAACGAAACATCAAAGTTCCAAGCTCATTGACTTACAAGATAGGGGACTTTAAAACTTAGATCAGGCTTTGCGAGTCTATTTGTAGTTGTATGGGGACACTCGGAGGCCATAATTACGAAATACTCCGTCCCCCGTAGATTCGAAATAACCAATGAGGAAACCTCAACCCTAAACCCTTGTACGGTTCGATTAGGAGGAGTATTGGTACACATAAACTAGAAACCTGAACCATAAACCCTGCGAGAATTCGACGATGCTTAGTACGAATACAGCTAACTGCACATAAACTTGATACCCTAAGCCCTAAACCTTGCCAAAGTTCAATGAAGCTCAGCCTAAACCCTAAACCGTGGATCCGAAACAAACCGTGGATCCGAAACAGTAGTTCAATTCTCTCTGATGCCTAATGATTCGGCTCGCAGTCATCGAAGCAAAGCAGCACTCACAAGCAATGTAACGCACGACTGCCGGCCAACATAGAAGGGTCCTTTGATATGTGTGTAGGCATGTATATACGTATATATATATATATATATATATATATACATATACATATGTATATATACACACATAATACATGTATATATATATATATATACACATAATGTATCTTCTTATGTGTGCTTGTGTACATGTGTATGTAAATGAATACGTATGTGAGCATGTATGTATGTATGTATGTATGTATGTATGTATGTATGCATGTATTTGTGTGTATGTATGCATGTACGCATGTATGTATGTAACTCTGTACCTATGTAACTATGTTATGTAATGTAATGTAATGTATGTATGTATGTATGTATGTATGTACAATATGCATGCATACATACATACATACATACATGCAATCGTACATGCATACGTACATACATGCATAGCTGTGTATGTATTTTGTCTATGCTTGTGTTCACAACTGCCTATAAGCAGGCATATGTAAACATCGAAACATTTCAACTCCTATTGTCAGTCTCTCTCTCTCTCTCTCTCCCTCTCGCTCTCTCCCTCTTTCTCTCTCTCTCTCTCTCTCTCTCTCTCTCTCTCTCTCTCTCTCTTTCTCTCTCTCGTGTACGTACACATACACATATATGTATATGTACGTGTATATATATATATATATATACATATATATATATATAGAGAGAGAGAGAGAGAGAGAGAGAGAGAGAGAGAGAGAGAGAGAGAGAGAGAGAGAGAGAGAAATAGGTGTATATATTTGTGTGTATATATACATATTACATAGGTCTTAAAGGCTTCGCTGGCGTCCGTGCGCAGCAGCAATAGGCCTTAAAGCTAAAGCCCAAGCAATTTATACTGCACCTGCCCCACCCAAGTTTTCAACTTTCAACCAAGCATTGATCATACAGTCCAGCAGGAAGACTAAACACAAAAACCTCAAGACAAAACCAGATGAAGTCTAACCCCTGAACACGGAAACTCTGCACCCAAAACGCAGAACACCATAGCCTTATTCAAGCAAAACGTTGTGCAATCCTCAGAAGCCCGTACAAGTATCAAGCCCTTGTAGAAACCGGGTAGAATCCTTTAAGACACCCAAATGAAACGACTCCATACACTCTGTTGCACTCTTGACGAAATCTGCGAGGAGGCCTCTGCTGGATGCTTCGCTAGACCCTTTGATGGCTGCTTTCAGAGCCGCAACACCGCTGTCGCACGAAGAAGTGGGGCTATTCGTGTAGAGGGGGGTTTGGGGATCTTAGGGTCCTTTAAAGGGTGCGATAAAGGCTCCTTCGAGGGATCTACAGGGCCCTTAGGGTTTTGGGTATGGAGCTACATAGGGCTATTAGGGATTAGGGGTGGGGGTTTAGAGTTTGGGCTGTAGGGGTTGGGGTTGGTGTTTAGGTTTCCTGTACAGGTTTGTGTTTTGGGTACTGCAACTGCACTTGGAGGGTCGTGGGATTTAGTAAGGTTATAAGTACCTTAATTGGGGTTATAAGTACAGTTACCCTAATTATAACCCGAGTTACTAAGTCCCATGATCCTTTAAGCAAGGTTCCTACGAAGGTTGTGTATCGGGGTTCAGGGTTTGACAAAGAAGATCCGGGGCTGCTTGCCTGTTAGTCCGGTACCGTGCTGCAAAGAATCGCCGACACAAGTCGCAACAAAAGTAACCGCGAGAGCTCGAGCCCCCAAAACATGCATCCCAAGCCCTTCACGACATCCTAAACCCTACACCTTAAACCCTCACCCTTAAACCCTAAACCTTAAACCCTAAACCGCCCCTCGGACGCATTTTCCTTTCGGACGGTGACCCGGCGCTTTCAGCGTACCAACCAGGGAGGTCCTGCGGCTAAGGGTGTTCAGGGCTGTAGGGGTTTTAGGCTCCTCTGTAGGGATACTATATATGGGTGGTTGTCAAAAATTAGGGTCCCCTAAATAAAAGGTGCCGTAGTAGAATAGGAACCCAACAAGGGACCCTAATTTTGACAACCACCCCTGTAGGGATACGATTATATACAGGGACTATACGGGTATGATAACAAGGGTTCAGGGCTTCGGGATCAATGTGGACTTTGGGTTAGTTTCGGCGTTGGAAAACGTTAATGCTCACGGCTTCCAAGGATTAGGGTTCTGGGCTGTAGCCTCATGGCAGCTACATCCCTCAACCCCGAAACTTCTTGGGATATCCCTAATCTCTGCGGTCGCAGCCAACAAGCACTAAGCTGGAGCTTTAGGCTTCGGGATTTACAGTGCAAGGCTTTGGGTTCATAGACTTCAAGGCTCAGGAGTCAAAGGGTTTACAGGGTTTAGGGGTTAGGCGGCTAGGGCTTAGGGAGGACTTCTAGGGCTTATGGGGTTTATAGAGTTTAGGGTGAGTTCGATCGCTTCAGCTGCCAAAGAAACCCTGATTGATCCGATGAGGGCCGTCCTCTTGCTCACCTTCGTAGCCGTAATCGCAGCAGATCTCCTGCCAATGCGCAACATTCTCGTAATGACACTGCATGTGTAAGCTACCCTAAAGCTCTCAAAATCCTTCAGGGCAGAGTCCCTGTAACCCTACGCGCTGTGGCATGTATTTGTGGCATGTTATTCTCTCTAGACTCCATGGCCACTCCCACACCCTGACCCCTCAACTGCAAGCCCTCGACCCCTAGCCCTGAAACCTTAAGCCCTGAGCTCAACGCCCCGAACCAAATCCTGCAATTCCTACAAGGGCCTTAATAGTTAGAATATACAAGGCTTTGGGGTATATCATACTACTGTATAATTAATAATTACAATAGGGCCGGGAAGCCCCAAAAATAGTATAGGTAATTATCTAGGCCCCTACCTAACAGGCCCGGATGTCCTCGCCCTCAGCGATGTCTCTCACAGCGCGTATGGCCTTTGGGCCAGGACCCGAGCCGCTTGGGGCTCTTGGTTGCTGAGGGTATGGATGTGGGTAGTTCTCTACATTAAAATTAGGGATAATGAGGGTCCCTCTTTAAGTCCCCAATATGGTATGGCACCCCTAAACCCTAAACCCCCTTTATAGGCCTAGAAAATTGCTGATTCAATCTACCACTTCCGCAAACCTCCCAGAGACTCCAA